AATGTGCAGTTATTCGTAATATGTACAAAACAGCGACAGGAGTTTGTATAGGCGAATGAAACGGGAGGAGTCACGTAAACTAGCATCTGAGATAGCAATGTTGAATGGTTATGGGGACAACACGGAAGATCCGACTCGAAAAGGCATTTTCCAAGTAATCCTGAGAATATGGTGTATCTTCGGCTTCCTTACATATCGGACAAATTAAGAAATCAGGCAGTGCATAGCACGCTCGGGTTTGGCCGATGATGTTGTCTTGATAAACTTACCAGGAGACAGTATCAAACGTCAACTAATCTGCCATTGACATTACGACTGTGCATGTTCTACGGATAACTGCTTCATTTGTCCGTTTGGAAAAGACGGAGATTGCCCACAGCGAGGGACGGTTTATCAAATTCGGTGTTCATTCTGTAACGAAATATACATTGGCGAGACGGGAAGGATGCCCGGCATACGGGTCAAAGAACATCTGGCAGGAAAAAGGCATGGAAGTCTACTAACACCACTTGGGAGGCACCGACTAGAAGGTTATCAACGCAATGATTTCGAGGTAAAATCCTGGCTTCGAGAATGAGATCGGTGCCAGAACGATACTGAAAGCGTTACATTTTCGCACGAAAAATCCAAGCCTGAACAACCGAAATGAGTGCTTGGCCATAACAAGTGAACTCTTGCCTTGTTCTTATTCATTCCCTTTTGTAGACATTGAGATCACCCGCGTAGTTCTTGTCTTACGATCATCAATGGTGTCTCATTGATCCCTTGTTGTTCACATGGAGTGGGAGTAATGCTGGTGGAACCGCAGAAGGTTGGTCTTTTTGCTGGGAACTTTTCCGTGTTTTAGTTTCCGGGAGTTGTTGCAACTAGCCTAGCGCGTTTGGGTGCTCGGTAGGGTAAGTCACAGATCAGGAGCTTCGAACTATTTTTAGGTCCTGAAGACGACGATTCAGTCGAAACGTTGACCAGTAAAGCGCTTCAGCCATAACAAACCTGTACGGCAACGCAGTATTAATCATTAAAACGTTTGTTGTGGGGAGTTCTTAGTAGCTGAAGTAACGTCGTCGTGCAGAGAACTGAAAAACTTGACTGATGTACTAGAGCAGGTAATTTGACCTAACTTAAAAGTCCGGAGGAAGCTTTCAACTAGGTTTGAGTTGAAGGAAGTTTTTTTCAGTAAAAGTAATGATAAAAAGACAACTCATACATATAAAAATTTATTCAACACTGTACAGAACAATACCTCAAACACGAAAAAATAACTGCTATTAAAATAATTTAACCTTTGACACTGTGATCAACGTAATACCGATCAAGGTAACACATATGCCGGCGAACAAATGCAAAACGTCCCAACGACCCTGAAAATGACAGCTGTTATTAGCTTTAGCAGGACTCATGTACTCCCAAAACTCAGCGAGAACTGTTCAGAATGTTAATGAAAGCAATCCTTAACGCCCCAACTCTTAATAGCTCTGTGAAGAGCTTTCAGAGTAGAAGGGTTAAAGACTGTACACTATTGCCCAAACGACAACTTTCCTTCAGCAACTTATGTAATAGAAGGGTGTCAACTCACCTTAATTTCTTTGAAAAGCAAGATTGCCCATAGTGCACAAACAATACCAGGCGCTTTGGCAAGAATTGGATAGGCAACAATCTGAAAGCTCATCTCTGCATTACCACCGATTGGTGTGTATTGTATGTAATTTATTTTATGACGGTGAAATAATATCGGAAGGCTACGAAAGAGGGAAGGATAGCTAGAAATGGCGCTCATAAGACAGGTCGTTGGAATGAAGGTGTTGCACTACGGCAAGAAAGCCTTTTGTCCTTACCCAGAAGGTAGCTGTACTAGTGTGCAATGGCGAGCCCCAGGAAAGTGTAGATGTAGTGGTTTGCTTATACTCGTTCAGTCTGTGTGGCTAATGTTAGTTTGGCGTTAAAAGGATGCGTTTTCCTTGTTTAATCTCTACAACAAATTTCTGCTGGATACTATCTTTTCAGTGTTAGATTTGTAGGGCATTCCGCTATGGGAGTACGTTAGGGAGAGTGATATGTTCAGACATGATTTCTGCCAAAACTTGTTCACGAGATCAGTCTGATTGGGTTCACAGAGAATGCATTTTGGAATAACAGCGTTGTTTGGGATGAGGAGAGCTCCAATGGAACCAATGTTCGGGTTACAAAAGTCCTCTATGACGTTATGTGTTCAGAGATATAGAAGTTGAGAGCATGAAGAAGCGATCGCCGCAAAGAGGTAAAAGAAGCTCGACGAGAATTCTAACTTCATCACCCGATGTGAATGAACAGGAATGGCCCACTTTCCCCAGCAATGGTGCTCGTCCGCTCATTTCAAAAATGACGCTTCTGAATTGAGCGAGTCAAATTACCGAACTTTGTCTCAGGCCTTGTATTCGTTAGACCTCTCGCCACCTCTTTTTGGCCGATAATTATTTCCGTAAGATTGTAGCCTTTCAAAACTTGGACTTATATTTAGTGGGAAAGAGTAAGTTGTGTTCCGTGGGCAAAGGGCATGTACTGGTTGTTCGGATATTCATTGGCAAATCATGGACAAAATTCCTGCCTCGGACGGGATTCGAACCCGCACTTGAAAGGTCAATGTATCTATTAAGACTAGGTCTTTCGTACCTTGCTCCTAAGTTTGGCCCTCAGACAGTAAGTGCTGTGGCGATACCCTGTACCTCATCTTTCATTATATCAGACAATTGGGGTGTGGTGCAGTAGGAACGAAATTGTCGCGTCGCGGCGAGATAGACGCCGCGCGCGAAGGAGTGTAGCAGAGTGCAGTTGCAACAAAAAAATACAGGTACAAAAGAACTAACAGTAGAATCATNCCAGAAGCAGTAATCGCATAGCGATTGAGCTGTATGAAGAACGCTAGAGCTGTTAAACGGCGAAGCATACAAGCGACAGCCGCGCGTGGCGAACTGATTACACAAAACCGTTCCTATTGCCCGTCTCCCCAGACAATTGACTTTTCCGTGGTCCATAAAATATTTTGCAAGAAAACAAAGCATAGACAATTAAGAAGTTGGAAGTACCGGGTCAAGATGCTGGTTAGCAGAGAAGAAGAAACATGTCGCGGTTCCGTACATCAAACCCGATAGCAGAGAAGGGGCAGTTAGCTCAGGATTGATGAATGGTCGATTCCTTCTGAAATTGCAAAACTTCATTGGAATTTAGCAGTAGTTCTTATAGAGAAACGAACCTGTAAACTGAATAACATGAGAAGATAATGGTTGATGTGACTAGAGCTCCCAGGCAGAAAGAGAAGAAAAACGTTGTATAGGTGAGCGAGCCACCACCGGTTTCACTCTGCATGATTAAATAATTCATCGGTGTCATCATATTTCCATACAAGGCACCAGTGAAAATTGTGAGAAGCGTGGCACTGAAATGTAAAAGACTCAGCAGTAAAAGTAGTTCAGTAAAGTTGAGCAGTAAAGTTCAGTGACGATATGAGAAAACACGAACTTCTGCATCAATTCCCAACTCTCAAATGTTCTCATGTCACTGGATAACATAGTGTAGACGTTCGTAACTATTCCCAAGATATCTGGTCCCGCATAAAGCAAACTACTTTTTTTGGCGCAAGTGGAGAGCAGCGGCTTTTGACGATGCAGCAACATAGCCTCAAAAGGCAATTCGGAGGCGAGGTCAATAGAACTAGCAGCCTGTTGGTAACCCTCTTCATAGCTATCCTATCCTCGTCTACATCGACAATACCCATCACTCGTCACTCTCGCAGTCTGATATGACGTTCTCGGCTAGTAATACAGGGGTCACGCTAGATCAGCAAAAAGCGCTGGAGCACCAAGCCCAGAACCAGGTTATAACATAAGACCAAAACTGAAAGGGCCTGTCAAGGGAAGTGATCAAAGAACAGCGAACCCATCAGTTATAAGGGAAACTCGGGTAAGGGAACTTTGGGTCAGTTGGAACAAGAGTCATGAATTTTCGGTAGGATACACGCACACGTATACACATACACAAACAAAGAAACATAGGGATACACAAAAACATACACACATCATAGAGGTAAACCAATATGCACACTTAGCGCTTTAAAGGCACAACAATTTTGAGGTGACCTTATTAGGTTGAAAAGCAGTAGTGTAGAGGAATACATCGGTGGCGAGAAAGCGAGAAAATCCGCCTACTTCAAGGCTTTTCAAAAGTAGTGTAAGTTGGGGTTGTTCGAGCTCACCGTGATGGTAATGTCGTGCAAGGAGTGTTTGGGCAAGATTCAACTTGCTCCCATCGCTCAAATAGATGACTTCATCAAGCCAAATTTGTAGGAAACTGTCGCCATGGGTTATGACAATTCGTTTGAACTCCCTACATGGGAGTTTCTTGAGATTGTGCAGCCTCTACAAAGCTGTTGAAACTTGTCCACCATGGGTGTGGCATTCACACGATACAATCTCTGGCCCTTTATTGTGCCCGACCCATGACATTTTCGACCTTATGACGGCAAGTATACTATAAAGGGGAGCCTCGAGTTCATAATATAGGGAAATCTCAGGAACCATTTATATCGTGAACTGCGCCTTTGAACACAGCGAAATTCTATAGTGTTTCGGATTTACATGATTTGTTCTTGATTTTTGAATTACAACTCCGTTGACTTGTAAATCGAGTGTGTTCTTTCACTGACTTTAGGATCTGGAAAAATAAAAACCTACTATATTCTCCTTGAAGTAGAAATCGTCCTCTCTTCTGTGGGCTTGAGGTCACCGTGTCTATCGTGCGTCTCCTGAAATATGATCAATTCCTAAAATACTACTTTCAGGCGAATGCTGCACTGCAGTTGTACATAGAACTGTTTCAGGAAAAACAACTGGAGTTTTTTTTTCTGTAGTGTGCCACGATTATAAAGAGGTTATATATGTAGGGGATTCACGAAGAGGGTTGCGACGATTATGTTCCTATGGAGTGCAAGATTTTTAAGTGGAATCATCCGTTAATTCAACGACCTAACCTTTCATCAATCGTCCCTTTCATTATCTGATTACGAAGTGGTCTGCACATTACCCAATAAGCGCCTAAGCCCCTCTAACAAAAACTAATAATTAAAAAAGCACGATTCGCAAAACAATCAAACAGGATCCCCTGCTTAAGCGAAGAGAATCCGCTGTTGCCACAGGTGAGTGCCGAATGGGCCCTCTTAAACCGCATTGAACAGGAAAAAAGTTCGACAAAACAAGCTTTCAAAGTATGGAAGTTGATAACGAGATTCAATTATCGAAAACATCGAGGAAATTAATCTGATGGAACGCTCCTGACTCGAAGAACCACCCCGTTTTCTGGTAGAGTATGAACCAAGAGTAGTCAAAACGAGACACCTGGATTCGCGTACGTTTACAGTGGAGCACATGCTCTGGATAGGTAGTACGGAATTGAGTTTTACTGTAATGTGACAATAAAAACGCTTGCACTCTTAAGAAGAGGTCGTTGATATGGAATGTGGACACTGGTTCTAGAATGAGAGAAAAGGATTTGCTCAATTATCCGAATCTAAGAAGAAAAAGAACAGTGTTAAGGATGAGGAAAGATTACCGATAGATGCCAAGGAGCTGGTCGAGGCGTCATTGGATGATGTTTTATCGTAGCGAAGAAGCATCCTCTGAAAAACATGTTGAGATCTTGGCTTCTGTTTTCATAAGCGGTTTTTTCTAATATCCCTCTGAATAGCTTTTTAAGTCAGTTCTATAAGAATAGTTTTTTCTTTGAAAGTTTTTCTCTATTTCTCAGACCGAATAAGTTTATCATCTCGCTCAGGTATCGGTAAAAAAGGGAAGAACTCGATTCGTCGTTGAGCCTCTAGGGGACAAGGTGTAGTGGTAGGGGTTGAAGGAAAAACCTAGTAGAGTTTCCCTTCCGAAAAAGCTTGTTCTCAATGTCTCACCTCACCTCATAAAATTTACCAGACTCAGAGCTCTACCAACACAGAGAAGGCGTAACGAGTAATGTGAAAAATGCTTTACATTTTTTTATCAGACTTCTCCACTTATTACACTTATTGATATCCCCCAGTGTTTTCCTATTCACAGCTCAGACCACTATTTTTCAGAAATAACAAGATGGTGTGGGATTCAGTGTTTTCAACTATCCTTGCCCGTTGTCACCTCATCCTGGGATCTACCATCTGCACCTACAAACTACTCTGAACAATAGTTTTTACTGCTCCAATATTCAAGGAAAGACATCGAAATGGCTGAAGTAGGCACAAGACCAAGTATTATGAATGAACCGGAACTTAGAACGTCACAATGAAGGGGGAAGGGCAAATTTCTGGCGCTGGGACTAATCCTCCTGAAGTGCTTGGTCGGTCCAGCGGGTATTTGCAGTGTTTAATTCCCTAACCGTACGTGCAATAGCGCTGTATTCGATAATAACCTATGTACCGTCGTTGTCACCTCCACACATGAAGGTTTATGCTGAGTAGCAGTTTTCGTTGACACATTTTTTTGTGGTTGTATTATACATTCAACGACCGTGCCAATCATTCCGGAAAGCATACAGCCAGGGTGACAAAATCAGGAACTTCAGCTTGTTTACCTCAACCACTCGAATAATCCGTAGTGATAACTAGCACCGAGCCCTTTTTCGAATCTTCAAGCAGAGAGAGACACTCTAGCCCTTAATCTCGTAGCTCCGAATTTGAGTAAAACTTCTGCGAGCCCTATATTCCCTTCTCCTGTAAGCCGAGTTCCCCACCTTATCTTTCCCTGACCTAGTGGTGGATTATGCACGTGTCAATCTTCCATAGTGTTTTAATATTTTGAGCTGAACATGCTGTTTTACTAACATTCCCGAGCTCTCATGTTGTTGCAATTTCAGTATCGGTGGTCATTCTTCTACTAGGATTGGAATCACAGCATGGTTCGAGAGCACTCGGGCATGACAATGCTGAAAATTAACTCTGCGCTTCACTGCATATGCAAAGCGTCGTATTGATAGAGACAGGAAGGAAGTTTGTAATTAAACATCAGGTCACAACAACACAACGTTTGTTCTTCCCCTCTTTGAGTACTGCTCCCATGGGAATCGGAACGTCGAATGGATGGGGGAACTGTAAGCAAAACCTCGTCCTTGGAAGGGGCTCGAACCCTTATTTGTACTTCCAAGGTAACGTATTCCTTATTTCTTACACTACCGAAATAAAGAGCACGTTGAGCATAGAGTCCCAATCGAGGCTGAGGTTTCGCCCACAACTCGCTATCCTTGTGAGACTGGGTACTGCGTCCTTTGAGTTATGGAACCGTTCCTTAATCAAAACCTAATGAGGGGTCGTCAGTTTCTGCTGCTCGAGAAGGGTATGAATGGAGTGGATTAGTTTGCATTGTAATGGACTTCTTTACAATGGTCCAACGCCATCTGGAGCTTTCACGTATCTCGTACACCTACACTTCATTGCCCAGTACGTACTTTTATAGTGAATTTACAGCATTATTTATTGCATGTCATATTTGCTGAAGAATAGTTCAAAAATGGTGCATCATGTATAATTCGAGTTTGAGTTTTATTAGGATAATTAGATTTTGAGGTTTACTGTGGATGATTCGATTTTGAGTTTTACTTCAAAACAAGATACTCAATCAACTTACCCAACACAGACGACTATCACACCGATGATGTTCATAACATTGTCGTACGGTACTTTTTTAAGGCTCCCGAATAATCCAAATCGGGATACAGCCCAACCTATTACGCAAGTTACTGTATTCCACAGTAACGAGCCTACAGCCATTCCTATACCATCCATTATTGTGATGGTGAGCGCATTTCCTAAAAAGTTCGTTGTATGTAAAGCAGAATAGCGATGGATTGATTGAATAAAACGCGGTACACAAACCTACAACCTCGGAAGCTTTTGAATTCCCAGACATTCAAGGAGGCCTAATACCAAGTTTGTTCCGTCGGGTTTTTAGTCCCACTTCACTGTCAATGAATTCCGCCATATTTAGTACGGTCAGTTGGCCTTACCATTAAACCATCAAGTCACCCATTATTATAGTACTTTCATTTTTGACATCGTAAGACAAACAATTAAGGAAGGCAGTTCAAGTAAACAAAAGTGATGAACTATATCGCGACATGCTGTCTGAGGTTAAGCGAGAGCTAATGTTCACAGTCTCGCTGTTAGGGACGTCAGTAGCGAAACATTCGAAGAAGGCATCATTTCTGAAGGTCCGCTCTCAAGTGGTTTCCATGACTCAAAACGGAAAATTCAATGGAAACTGATTCCGTTGGATTGAATTTGGTGAAGGGAAGTTCTTGCGGCAGAATTCATTAAGGAACCAAGAGATTCACTTCCGAATATTTCCAAAATGTAATGAGAAAGAAAAACAGTGTAACAACATTCGTTAATTAATAAATAGTGCATATGCTTTACTCACGAACCAACTGCAAAGAACATTCCGCCAAGCATTGCGAGGGGATAAATCGGTGGCCAGTCAGTAAGGGCTAGAAAGCCAACGCCTGCTAGCAATTGGCCTATGCACATTAACCACTGGAAGTACATACCTAAAACAAGCTTAATTTGGTATAGAACTTCATTACAAAAGAAAGTGCTATGAGTCTGTGACCAATCTTACCGTCCCCAGCTTCGAACCATCGCACTGGCACATAACAAGACCCATAAAGGGCAGTGGCTAAAGTTGCCGATATCAGTCCAAAGGCAGTGTTTTGTTCGGACATTGTAATGGCGAACAAAGGAAAATGTTCTAAAATCCGAGTTTGATTACTTTTAGACCCATAGACAAGGCACGCTAGATAGCAGTGTCCAGATTGTTTTGCGTACAATATCAGCACTAGAAGCTAGTAGACAAGTATTCTTGTAAAGATTATAAGCAAACAGATCACAACAGTAACAACAAACAAAATTAAGCTACTCGCTGTCTAATTGATCAACGATTTTCTTGTGTTGACTGTCTTATTGAAGCCCAATACATGAATGTTAGCAAAGAGCAGAATGTTAAGGAAAAGGCAACTTCCCATGCGCTTGTGCCTCCTTGTTTTATAGAGTGAACTCCCTATTTCACAACCGGAAATGCTAAACGGGACACACTCAGATTTCGTCGACATAGTCGTCACAACAGCTGGACGAAATAAAATTCAAATTAAGCTACCCGCTGTCATCGCACCATAAATGCACTTCTTGAAAAGTTGTTATTCGAAATACGGTTTTGCTTAATCTTTCTGCAGGCCGACCCCCAACGCAAAGAATTCCCCTCTCAATCTACGCCCATTCTTGAGACATAACTACGAACCACAATTCAAACACTCTCGAAACTTTGTTGAGTTGGGGAGACAGATTACTAATAAGTTTTCAATCTTGGAGATATTAAATACTTCCTCATTTCGAGTTAAAAGAGTAGAAGCTCCAGTGCTCGGTGCTTCCTTCCTTCGCTCACTTGTTTTTCGGTACACGGATCAAGAAGCCCTGACAAATGCTTTCCGAGATGTGTTGTTAGTGCCTGACATCTGGGCGCTCAGAATAAATTACTGTAGTGTTGATAACGAGCACTTTCTGCCGAAAACAAAGAGCAATTTTGAACTCTCTTACGTGGAATCGGGACTTTTGGCCTACTTCTCCACATTGGAGTGATCGGACATATCCCCTCTGCAGACTTGTGCACAAAGAAAAATTCGTGATGAACGTCACCATCGTCGATCACCTCAGTCGTAGACAAACACGCAGTATTCACTCTCTCTGTCTTCCGGGTTAAATAAATTACAATCTCTGACTCCGATCAATCCTTTTTTAGGGATACGCTCTAAAATCGCATTCTCTTTGAGAGCATTTGTATGTGGCTTATACAATGATTAGCGGTATTCTGGTGCAGAATAACGGCTCTGAAGGGATGGGAGGTTTGGTCGCTCTGAGGTTGTTCATGGCTTACTGATATTGGATATTTGCACCATGCATGTGCGATCGTACGTCACTTCCCATCGGGGGACGGAACATTCACCCACAACTGAATGGACGCGGCAAAGCGCGCGGCGAAATTCGTGGTGATTGAAACGGCTCTGACGCTTATCATTGGGGCACAAATTCGAAGTGGGGTAGATAAGTAGCATCAGCGGGCCCTACATATCCAATCTACTTGAAAAACGTGCCCCAATGATAGACGCCAAAGCCGTTTTAATCTCCACGAATCTCGCCGCGCGGTTTGCCGCGTCCATCCAGTTCTGGGTGAATGTACCCATACCCCTTCCCACCACCCCATATCCTCCCTATGATGTTCACGTTTTTCAAATTCAAAAGTTATTTAGATCCTTCCTTTCCCATGGAAATCAAGTTCAGCGAGAAACCAAATCTTTGTATTCATATGAAAACCGACATCCTTTGAAGTGTGGCGAAAGACACCTAATTTTTCATTTTTTTTTTCTA